GAGGAGGGGGGGGTGGGGGTCGCTGGTGCCTTTATTCTCCAAACAAACAGGAATTACTATTTGAACACTTTTTTTGTATAGCAAAGCCATCTGCTTTATCTAAACCTCTGTCTGTTTTCCATCCCTGTATTTGCTTTGGTAAGTGGGCCACTCGCCGGGTCAGAACCTGCCGCCGCACGCCGCCTGACGGACCACAGACACGRGTTTAATAACCGGAGTATTAAAAATGGAATTCCACGAACATCTGCTGCAGATTTCACCAACGCAGGACAGCGCGAGTGACAGGAACAAAAACAAACTAAAAGTGGTCGGACGCAGGAAAAACTGAGGAAGGTTTTTTAAAACAAAACAAYTGCAGTAAAAGTAAAAATCAGCACGAATGAAATGAGAAGAGAAGGTAAATGCTTTAAAGTTTGGCTGCAATTAAAAGTGGCAAAACAAGACAGACAGGTTTTCTTTTAGTCAGAAAGAAACACATTTAATGTTTTATAATTTATAAATAGTGAGAGGAGATCATGTTTTTGCCTACATTTGTTATTTATCCATCATAAACTGCCGGCAATGCAGACCATTTTAGCCTTGCAGGACACTGTAGTACTAATCAAAAATACAACTTTTTATAAAATGTCACCCTAAATAAGATGATACAGCGAGCCTAAACCAGCTTTTGTGCATTCCATTTTTAACAATAAGTGGCATTAAATTTCCCCTTCTCACCCAAGAGAAATGTTTTTTTTTACAGCTGTTAGACCAGAAAGCATGAAGCAGCACTGAAAAGGAGGGGGAGGGGGTGAAAAAAATGCTAAAAGCCCCATCTGAGAGATCCATGAGCACTTAATCTTTCCAGCCCTTTCGCCCAGCGAAGTATCTGATGCTGCAAATCCACAGAAAAGCATCCAAACAGCCGAGGCTCAGAGAGGCTGAGAGGAAACATGGTGGGGCGTTAAGCAGCTGCAGAACGAAACGTGACAAGGAGCGTTACAAAAAAATGTATGAAGCTCCATTAAACCTTCTGGATTAGATCAATCCCTCACTGTTAAAAAAAAAAAAAACAAAACACTATGATATTTTTGTATGTTTTAAAGAATTTTGTAAACTCCATTTGTAGGCCTCTTCATTTCTGACTGTTAAATCACAGGTTAACGAATCATCAGGTGGGATTCTCTCTTTTGGCTTTTTTTTTTCTTTAAAA